GGCCTTGCATGAAGTAGGATGTAACATGGTACATGGAGAGGTGCTTGACTTGCTGGAATGTCAAGGCCGAGCATTAACGACCTCACATCAAGATGCAACCGTTGGAGATTCCCGTATGGAAATGGGAAGACATTACTATGGATTTTATCACGAAGCTTCTCAGGACTGCACGCAGAGTGGATTTTATTTGGATCATCTTTGATCGAATGACATGGAGCGTGCATTTCATTCTGACCCAAGAGAGCATATATGTGGAGAAGTTAGCCGAGATTTATGTCCGGGAGCTCGTGACATGTCAATGGGTGCCGGTATTGGTGGTTTCTAACAACGATGTTTGTTTTACTTCCAGATTTTAGAAACAGTTTCATGACGAGATGGGTACTTATCTCCATTTTAGTATAATATTTCATCCGCACTGGTCAGAGTGAGCAGACTCTTCAGACTCTCGAGGATATGTTGCGTGCTTGCATGTTGGATTTTGGTGGGAGTTGGGATACGTTTCTTCCGTTAGCGGATTTTTCATATAAAAACAGTTATCATGCCAGTGTTGATCGATCTCCTTTTGATATGTTCTACGGGAGGAAAAGCACGACCCCGATTTGTAGTTGTGAGGTCGGTCATCGAGTCATGGGTAGTACCGAGGTGGTACTCAAGTCTACTAAGCTGATTCAATAGGTTCGGAGTAGGCTCTAGACAACTCAGAGTCAGCAGAAGTGCTATACTGACAGGAACCGGTCAGATTTGGAGTTCCAGGTAGGAGATACGGTTCTCCTAAAGGTGTCGCCTTGGAAAGGTGTCATCCAGGTCAGGAAAGCGGGGCAAGCTGGGCCCCAGGTATATTGGTCCCTTCAGGGTTTTGGCTCAAGTGGGCTGGGTTGCATATCATCTTGATCTTCCGGCCAACCTCATTTAGATCTATAACGAATTTCATCTCTCTCAGTTGCGGAAGTGTTTAGTGGATGATTCTGCAGTTGTACCTTTGGAGGATATTCAGATGGATCACCGTCTGAATTATATTAAGAGACCGGTGGCAAGTTTAGATCGGAAGACATAGACCTTGAGGAACTAGGTTGTAGAGCTATTGAAGGTGTAGTGGTAGCACTGAAAAGGGTCAGAGTAGACTTTGGAGCTGGAGGATGAGATGAGGGAGCACTACCCAGAGTTGTTTGAGTCTACGGACTTCGAGGACGAAGTCTGATTCAATCGGGGGAGAATTATAATGCTTGATTTCCAGTATGAATTTATTTCCAAAATGTTTATTCTTTCCCTTTGGTACACAATGTGTTGGAGCCTCAACACGGCATGTCGAGATGTCCTTGGCCGTGGAATTTAATGAGCCCACACGGCGTGTTGGCAGCTCGGAAGGAAACCCTAATTTTTAGGGTGTTGCACGCTATTTAAAGGACTTAAGTCCCCTTAACCAGCCTCCTTACCTGCCTTCCTTGTTATATTAAACACTAAATCGAGTTTTAACCTTTCTTGGTGGCGTTTTTGAAGTTTTGAGTGGGTTCTTGTAGATTCTTGTACTCATTTGAAGGAGTTTTGGAGTTTGAAGGTGTCTAGCTTGGAAGGAAGGTTTTAGATCCAAAATCTCACAACTTGTGGCAGTCTCCTTGAGGTATCAATTTTGAACCTTGATCTTTAGATGTTTAAATCTCTGTATTCCGTGTTTTGGTCCTTTTTGGGTGGTTGGAGGAGTTTGTTCATTTTAAGGACTTGTGATTTTAGATTTGAGTTTGTCTTGGCCTTCTTATGCTTAAAGTTGCAAGCTTTATGTGAGGAATTGGTCCCATGCATGCAATAAGTACCTTTTTAAGCTTAAGAGCTTCTTTTATGCATGCACAGACGTAAAGTTGGCAACTTTACGTGATTTTCTAGCTCGATTAGGTCAGATCCGTGTTTTGGGGCTTGGACTCAAGAGTTAAGGGCTTATTGGATTAAGCCTTGTGCTTTTAGGCAATATGGTTGGGTTTTGGACCTTTTTTTGGTGATCCCTATGGATAAAGTTAACAACTTTACCCTTCTAAGTTTCCATTTGAGTTTAGATCTGAGGTTGGGAACTCTTGATGTTGAAGGAAACGACATAATATATTAATCTGTTGGAGCTCGAGGAAACACTACGTGTTTTTGAGGAAACACGGCGTGTTGGATGGGATTTTCTCGCGTGTATAGATAAAGAGGAAACACGACGTGGTCAAAGGGAACCACGACGTGTTGGGTCAACATGGGCCATCGACCTTAACTTTTGACTTTTGTCTATGACCAAGTTTAACTTATAAGGGGGTGTTGAGTGATTTGGAGTTGTATCTAAGGAATTGTTTCTGTTTAGGGGTTGGGTAGAACTTATATTAAGATCCAGGACCTCTTCAGATATCGTTCAACATTCGAGGTGAGTTTCCTCACTGGTTTAGCGGGTTTAAGGCACCAAGGCCGACCCTCGTTCGGTTATGTTATTATACTTGTTGTCTGTATGATACTTGTATGTTTTTGTATATGTATGTTTATTGGGTGGGATCTGTTATGTGAGTGTGGGAGGGGGCCCGTGTCTCATTATTATCTAAGTGTGGGCAGGGCCCGTATCTCATTATTATCCGAGTGTAGGCGGGGCCCGTATCTCATTGGGTGGGGCTCGTTATTCGAGTATGGGCGGGGCCCGTTATTCGAGTGTGGGCGGGGCCCGTATCTCACTATAATTTGAGTATGGGCGGGGCTCGTATCTCATTTAGGCGGGGCCCGTTATATGATATGTATGGTATGTGGTATTTTGGGGAACTCACTAAGCTTTGTGCATACGATTTTAGTTTATGTTTCAGGTACTTCCGGTTCCAAGGGGAAGAGCTCGGGTTGACTGCATCGCATACACCATATGGATTCTGCTTATGGGACATACCCTAATTTTCATTATGTTTGACATATTGTTCTATTGGGTTGTACGAATCATGTTTTGGAATACTATTTTTACTTAAATCAAAATGAAAATTTTGGATCATGATTTTTGGATGTTACATATATATAATTAACATTTCAAACTACAAAATAATACTAAATATATTAAATTCTAAAATGCCTTCATCGTCTTCCACTTCGTCAAATTTGTTGGCATTGCGGGAATCGGAGTTTATCAAGAATGTTATGTGAACAACACTTGCATATGCATAAAAAAACAAAACCGCAAGTTCACATTAAAAAAATCAGAAATCCACGTTTCCCGATAAATCATGTGCCTACGTATAACCATTTTGGAAAAGGCTATTTTTATGATGTATATCTTGAAATTTTTAGACATCATTTCCGGATGAGGATAGAATTGTCCTACATATTGGTAGTGACGTGAAGTATAGATTTTCGTATTTTCAACAGTTTTGTGATGCGAGAGGCGTAAAAGGTTTCTTTCTAATTTAAAAATATACAACGAAAATTCATCAACTAGTATTCAACATGAGACCAGACTCATATGATATGATGATTATTTGAGGATGTCAGAGTGAACGACACAATAATGTCTTTACAAGTGTGCTAAAGTTGTGATTATCCTTTATCGTGACTAATATATATATATATATATATATATATATATATATATATATATATATAACGACGTCCACCAATTGTATATGACACATGAAAACAAGCATGGGTTACTTGAAATACTTGATAGTATTGATTGTATACATTAGGGTGGTCGATGTACCCTAATGCGTGCATATATGATCAATTCACACGAGCTGATTAAAACAACCGACGACAATTGGCCCGACAATTAGTTCGACGATATTAATGAGTCGGAAATATTTGAAGATTATTCGAACGAGGATTTTGTGAGCAACAGTGAGTACACACGTAATATTTTAATATGTTTTAGTTTTTTTTGAATTTTAATGAAATAGTTTTTTAATACAATTATTTTTATTTATTTTGTTTACTTATTTTCTAATTAAAGAAATAGTTACATTTTTATTAATTTTATATAATTATTGAATTAAATTTTAATATATTAATAGAAAAAATATGAGGTAAAAAGGGATGATAATTTCCTCTCGGTTAAAAGGGGTAAAGGTAAGGATAAAATTATGTGGTAATTGACAAAAAAAAAAATGGAGGTGATGAGAGATACCCATGATAGTAATATATTATAGTATCTATAATGGTGAGTTTAATGAGAGAGTTGAATGAGGTAACAAGTCTATGTATCATTCAATGAATGAAACTTTACCATTGTGAGATGTCACCTTGATTTCAATGAATTTGAAGTTCAATAGTCATTGAAATCTTCAACGAGAAAAAATGAAAGTTTTTATTCTTAAATATTTACTATAAATACATTTTGTAGTAGTTTATTGAACATTTTAGAGTTCAATGCATTATAAGAAAAAAAAATGATATAATTGTATGGATTGTAGAAAGATGATATGACAATCCATTATGAATACCTTAAAGAATCTCCAAACTTCACAATTTTAAGGCTCGAATTATGCAATATAATACGATTGTTTTAACCATTTTCGTGAAGGTTAGTTTAATTGAGTAAAAAGTTAAAACCTTTTAAATCATCCAAACCAAACTTCCCCTGCAGAAGGACTTGGTCGAGTAGTCTTTGAGTTCTGCAGCTAATAATTTAATAATTTATGCACGTGGACCAGTTTTCTACTCCTCTAGCGGGCTGGCTTCTTCCTACCTAAGCCTTGTGGGTCGAATGGGTAAATCGATTTAGTACTTGGGCTTGGTTTTCCGGATCCAGGATCGTATAAGACTTATTCAAACCATTTAATGCTAAACTACCACTTTGAACAACTTGCGCAACACTTTTCCCAAAAGATGACACCTTTCTCCAACTTTCTCATGTAATTCAGAAAAAGACTCTAAATAAGACAGAAACAGCTCCCAATATTAATCAGCTATCCTCTGTGAATTTTTATCCTTGTTATATCACTCGTCAATATTTTGTTTCTTTAGAACCATCAAAGAGACAAAAAACATCTGATGATCACATAAAAGAAAACATGTATCAAGCAAAAAGCATTCTACAGTCATTGTTGATGATCCTTTTTTTCAGACTTAGCATTTCTACCGACTCCATCACACTCACTCAGCCTCTTAAAGATGGTGATGTACTAGTCTCTAATGGAGAAAGATTTGCGCTTGGATTCTTTAGCCCCAGAAATTCCAGCAACCGGTATGTGGGTATCTGGTATAACAAGGTGTCAGAGAAAACGATAGTATGGGTTGCCAATAGAGATCATCCGATCACTAACACAACAGGTATCCTATCACTTGATGAAACAGGAAACCTCGTCTTGCGTGAGAGTACTCAACCTTCTGTGTTCTGGTCGACCAACGTTTCTGGAGTGGAGAATAATGATGTTTCCGCTCAGTTGTTGGATTCCGGGAACTTGGTGTTGTTTCAAGGTCAAAACAGACGGGTTTATTCATGGCAAAGCTTTGATCATCCTTCAAATACCATTCTTCCGGGTTTAAAATTCGGGATAGATAAGAAAACGGGTATGAACAGGATGGCTTCGTCTTGGAAATCCAATGGGAACCCTGGCATCGGGGAGTATTCGTTTAAAATAGAAACTATTGGGTCAACTCAGTTGCTCTTGTACAAAGGTACGACAGCAGTTTGGCGAGGCGGCTCATGGACGGGTCATGGGTGGAGCGGTGTACCGGAGATGACACAGAACTACTTGTTTAACGTCACTTACACAGACAACAACGATGAGGTAGCGCTAGTTTATCTTATACGTAACTCATCGATTTTCTCAAGATTAGTCCTTAACGAGTCTGGGAAAGTTGAGAGGTCAACATGGCATGATGCGGATCGTCGGTGGATTGTGTTTTGGTCGGCTCCAAAAGACGAGTGCGATGGGTACAGCCATTGTGGTCCTTTTGGCCTTTGTGATCCATACAAGTCGGGAACTTTCGAGTGCGATTGTCTTCCAGGGTATGAGCCTCGGTCACCACAGGATTGGTACCTCAGAGATGCGTCCGGAGGATGTAAGAGAAAGGTCGGGACCGAGGTGTGCAAGGAGGGAGAAGGGTTCGTGGAGTTGGCACGTGTGAAGGTACCCGACACGTCGACAGCACGCGTGAACATGAGCTTGGGATTGGAAGCATGTAAAGGGTTGTGTTTGAGGAATTGCACGTGCATGGGGTATGCAGTTGCTGATATTAGCGGCGGGGGACGAGGCTGCGTCACTTGGTATGGAGAGATGATTGATACAAGAACTTATTCCGATGGGGGCCAATCTTTCTTTATCAGGGTGGATGCAGAAGAATTAGGTACGCCATTAATTCATTCTCTAATGCTATTTAATATTTAAGTCCTTTATTTTGAGCTTTTTAGAAAGATGAAAACAAAATATCTATTCCCGTAATTAATATAAGGTAGGCAATAGTAGAATGTGATACTGTTAACGAAGATTGTCATTGTTAATATCTATAATGGTTTACTTTGCAATATGGTGATAGTAAAATTGGATTGAGATTGAAATATATATATATATATATATATATATATATATATCCAACTATATTAACTAATCACCAAATTTGCTAGCAAAGTCTTCTTTGTGTAGAATTTATAATAACATGATCTTGATTAACAGGTTATTTGGCTAAGCTAAAAAATCGAGTTTTTTAATTTATTATCGGTTCTATACCCGTATAAGTTAAAAATAATGTTTGGTAACTTTTTTAAAAACAACTTGCAGTTGTTTGAAACATTTTATAAGTTACATGCTCCTTACTTATCGAAAACTCTTTCTTTCACAATTTAAAGAAATTGACCAATATCCGTTTAACATAGTAAACCTTATGCAACGACATAAAATTACGCTTATTGATCTAATGTGTATCCAGTATCCCAACAACAAAAGTCAGAA